TTCTATCTACTACAGTAAGTCTTTTAAGTTTGTTGATCGAAATCCTATTCCTCCATATCTCTACTGCAGCTTAGACAAGCAAAGGAGGAAATAGTCTCAGCCAGCAAAGTGGCCTACAGATTCTTGGCCGGTGTGGCCTCAAACTCATCAGTCTCACCAAGCAACACAGATAATACAAACAATGGCAGCCCAAGATTCCAGGGTGCCTGGTTCAAGAACCTCATCTCACCCGCTCCCAAGCCATCAACCAGCACTCCTCCAGAAGATTCATCATCCTGTTCTTCATCATCAGCAACCGATGACGATCAGTCACTTGAACATCTTAGATCAACAGGACAACTGCAGTGCTACCGTAATCTGTAGACTTAACGAGAGGTTAGAAATACTTAGATGATCATTGTTGTTATTACTTAAGTTACATGGTTTGTTCTGAAGAGAATCTTGAGTCATTATATAGATCAGAAGAAAACTAATTTTCGAATCTTTTCAAAGAAGTTTTTGTTTGTTTTGATGGAAATGTAGATGCTTGGAAAAGGATTGAAGGTATCACCACCCTTTCACTCTTTAACCACTTTGTGTATTACTTTCTTTGAACTTCTGAAGCAAATTTCTAGCTTTGCGAGAGGGTCCCCTCCATATTCCTTGCAAACGAATGGGGAAATTCTACGCTGTTGGAAAGCAGTTGTGTCACAGAATCCTCTTATGGGCCCCATATTTCCATGGATCTCTAACCAAATCCATGGAAACAAAGAGCTCCTCCTATTGGCTTAGACAGGTTTTGAAGCAAAATACGAGTGAAAATGCTGAAGAAAAATCTTGTGTATGCATAAAACATCTGATCATTTACATGGGTTGGAAATATACAACATTACTCTTTATCAATGGCACATACACAAGGACATCATTTTCTGCGAATCATTGAAGCGATGGAGTTCAGCGCATTGGCTGCTATCCTCGACTTGATCTGCCCCCTCTTCGGTATCTGCCTCTTGCCATTGGCGAGCGGGCCTACAAGAAGAGCGATGATGAACGGCTGACTCATTTTTTTTATGGAGGCTTGTATGAGGTTTTTGTTTTGCTTGGTTTTCTTGACCTCTCAGTTTCAGGTCCATTTATAGAGTTGAAAGAGACAGAAGGCCGTGGTAATTTGTCACGGGACATGACAGCGAAGACTAACCTTTGATGGTTTTGAATCATAGTGGTGTCTGTAGGATCAAGAGCAAATTGCTTGAGTCTGGTATTGCCCACTTGAGGAGTTGGCACTGAGGATGAGGTAAACGCTACTGATATTTTTTTAGGACAAAATTTTAAAACCAACCCATTTTGAAACTTAATTGTAAAAATCGACCCATTTTGAATTTAATTGCCAAAATCGACTCAGTTTCAGCCAAATTTTTAAAACCAACCCATTTTGAAACTTATTAATTGTAAAAATCGACCTATTTCGAATTTAATTGCCAAAATCGACTCAATTTCAGCCAGTTGGTTAAAACCAACCCATTTTGAAACTTAATTGTAAAAATCGACCCATTTCGAATTTAATTGCCAAAATTGACCCAGTTTCAGCCAACTGGCTGAAACTGGGTCGATTTTGACGAACTAATTTACGGAACTTCACGGGATTTCAAGTCCCGTGAAGTTTAAGCGCGTTGTTAAACTTCATGGGACTTGTTAAACTTCACGGGACTTCAAGTCCCGTGAAGTTTAGTAACTTTTTTTTTTATCAAAATCGACCCAGTTTCAGCCAACTGGCTGAAACTGAGTCGATTTTGATAATTAAATCACAAATAGGTCGTTTTTTGTTATTAAGTTGCTAAATAGGTTGGTTTTGAAAATCTGTCCTATCTTTTATAAGGTGAAGAAATCTGGCGACTGGATTTTGTTTCTGTAATAGTGTCAACTGTGTATAGAAATGTGTAACTGTAACTTGAATTGTAATTTATAAAAGTTTTAATTGCGAACTTGAACTTCGTAGTATCACCATTTGTGAATAGGCTCCATGTAGTTCTATTTGTTGCGAATAGACTCATTGATGAATTTATTTTTGACTCTCAAAATCATTAAAAATGTTGAGGAGGCAGATGACCCCCCTTAGTTCTATTGATGAGGATAGACACCAAATTACTATTTTTTCTGACTTTTTAAAGAGTCGAAAAAGCTCACCGAGTGTATTCACAATTGGTCGAAAAAGCTCTCTAATTGTATTCACAATTGGGCTAATACTACAGGGATTCTATTTGCAACAAATGGAATAATATGGGGTGCAAATAGAACTAAATTTTTTTGAAATTGGGTGATACCGAGGTGTCTGTCTACAATTAACCCTTTATAAAAATAGATTATAGAACACGTTTGTACAAGAAGAGGTTGGCACTGGAGATAAGGATTAATAAAATAATATATTTTTTATAATAGGATGACGAGACGTGAAGGCTGCCATGGTATCAATTTCATGTGCACTGTGGCGGTTGAAGATGGACCTTAGTTTAATATTTTCATGAAAATGAGGCACCATGCAGAGTGTGCAGTTGAGCAAAATTGGTTGGGGTCCTTATTATTTTATTTAACATGGCTCAAGCTTTGCCACAACTTGACTGTGCTACGACCAATGCTGGATACTGGAATCAACTGCTGGTTTCTGGTTTAAGATTAAAATAGCGAGAGTTATGAGGGCCAAAATATGAAAGTTATCAATACTACTTTGAGCCTTAGGGCCTGTTGGGATTTGTAGGGGGTGAAGGGAAGTTAAGAGAAACTGAGAGAAGGGAAGGGAAGGGAGTTTCCTTCCCCTTGGTTACACCCCAATTTGGGGGGTAACAAATTTTATACTATTTGGGGATGAACCAAGGGGAACTAGGGTGAATTAACTTCACCTCCTAAGTGTTCCCAAACAAGATGAATAGAGATGAATGGTTCCCCTAACTTCCCTTCACCCTCATTCCCCTCAATCCAAACAAGCCCTTAATGTCGAAAGTAATGTGTAGTTCTATATTAAGATGATTCTAGTAAATCTAGTCCATAAGCCGCTTAGTTCTATACATCCCTTCATTCAAATATCCTGAATTATTTAGATCCAAACACAAAAGTAGACAATTTTTCGTTTAAAACCGAAATGGCCTATTTAACCTTGGTCGTGTAAATCATTTTCTCTGATCAAAAAGTATACCATACATTTAAGAGGTAAGGTACATATAGTACTAATTATTAGAGGGGTTAATTTTAGAAAACCTTCCTCAACTACTGCGTCATCTCAGAAAACTCCTATCAACTATTTCGAATCTAAAACACCCTCCTCTCATCCCTCAATTTTGGGATTGTTGTAGTAACCCCCTCAACTTTCAAAACATGATTTAACCCACCCCCAACGATTTTTTCACTTAACCCCCTAAACTAATAAAATTAAATCTAAATGAACTCATGATTTAAAATTGCCAAACTATCCCTAAGACATTAATTTTTTTTACCATGGTGTTCCTTTTAGCTTTTTGATTAAATACATTTTCCATTTTATTTTCCCCTCTTCTTCTTCATCCACCATTTTTATTGCTATGTCCACGTGTGAACCCAATGTTTTCTTTCTTTTTAGAAACATTAATCTACTTTTATGTTCTACTTATCCATACTTCTAATGTTTGAAACAATCAAAACTTTTGAATTTTTTTGGAAGATTAATTTCCTCATAAAAAACCATCGAATTAAAGTCTACATAAGTTGAAACGTGACTTGGCCGACAATACAACCATACAGTCATATTCACATCTCTAGATTATCCTGTACACAAATATATAACCAAAAACTACACCACAAAGCATGTTACTAAGATAGCAAAGAAATATATAGATAAAAAAAATCTCCAGAACGACAGAGTTCAACTACATCTATACAAAAAGGGAAAAGAGTAAGAAAATACATCATAGGCTAGAAAGGCCACATGTGGCTCCAAGAAAAGTCCGAAACATAAAAAAAAGAACTATCTAAAATAACTGAAGCTAGTAGAAACTGAAAAAGTAGATCAGTGACCACTGCCGCTGGGTTTGCTCCTCAAAATATTTGTGATCCCGCGAAGAAAGATATTCCCCGAGACTGGGGTGCGCAAATCCCAAGTGAGTCAGAAAACTCCCAACAAACATGTAAAATTAAGTAATTGTTGATAGGGTTGGTTTTTTGAACTAACATGGTTTTTTCTTCAACAAACAATAATTTGCTTATTGCACATTTTGAATTGATGATATTAGGGGTGTGGGTTGTGGGGGTTATATGACAAAATTGTAAAAATGAAGTGGAGTTTTGGGAGACACCCCATAGTTGATAGGAGTTTAATCATATTTGGAAAGTCGAGGGGTTATTTACAACGCTCTCAAACTTGAGATTTTTTAAAATTATAACAGTTGAGAGGAAATTTTCTGAGACAAGCCTCATAGTTGAGGGGTTTTCTAAACTTAACCCTTTTACGAATAACACTTGTCCAGCAATTGAGGGACACGAGCCTGCAAATAAATAAATGTAGGAGAAACTACTCAAAATGAGTGAATAACTAAACAAATATTCTATAGAGAGTCACACCACAAAAACTGAGTAAGAATTCAATAAGTAACTGGGTAATTTATATCATGCATGAGGGGTTAGATGACTAGATTGGAAATTGCGACTATTCAATTGATGCTATAAATCACTCCATTCTTGTAGAGATGGTTATGATTGGATGCTTACCGATGGAAACTTTTTTCCCTAACTACCATGAGAAAACTTAAGAGTTATAGTTTTATGTTATGCGGTGATCTTCTTTTTAATTTCCTATTTAAATATATGGAAACATGCACGTCGCTTGTGCATGGATGGCACACACAAATCGAGAAATAGTCCAAACTTTTTCAGAACCTCCAAGTGAAGTCTGGGTTAAAAAGAATGTGAGAGGACAAAAAAATTTTATGAGATAAATTTTTATGTAAGTCAATTAGAACCAGAACCTTGGCACTTAAAATTTGCAGCAGAAGCAGTATATATATATATATTTTTTGTTCAAATACATAGGAATCAATAACAAGTAGTAAACATGAATCGTCTTTCTGTAAACAATACATTTTGAAAGCAACAAGTAAAACACATGATATTTTCTGCAACTCAAATCACACACACCATTCTAATAACTGAGCAGAAGATAAGACCTTATAAATATGAGTGCAGTATGAATTGCGCAGTAGTTATTAAATAGAGACGGAGCAGATGGCAGGAACGTAAGCAGACCCCCTGCCCCCAGTAAACGCAAGACAATCACGCCACACTTTGCTCCTCGCTTTCTCTACGCATTCGCTGCATAACGCTGCGTTCAGCGTGTAGCATATATCGTCACTCTGAAGGAGGGCACGGCGTGGCTTGGTCTTCTTCATCTCCAAATTCTTTCTTGTTGTCCCCGGAGGGAGATGGAAGTTCCCTCTGTTGACGCTGTTCGCTCCGTACCTGCAAGTAGTTGTGATGTGTTCCTCGTTGATGAAAGCAGCGAGTACTGCAGTGTTGCATCCTACGATCAGAAGGAGCAGAACAAAGGAAGATGCCGCCCGCACATGAATT